TCTGACAGTATCAAGGAACACTGTATCCCTGATGTGGTTCTTTAACCTGATATACATATATTATAGGAGACTGTTCTACAATTGAGTTGACAAAAAGAAATGTGTCAAAATATAGCTAACTTCCAAGAGTAAACCCTGAATACATGTAAATTTTACTATAAGATATGTGTCTTAGGTGTTATCATTTTTTTCCTGAGAATAAAATTCTGTGTTCAATGGATATGAATACGCTTTTGGTGTAAAAACATTTCAGTTAAATTACTGTCAGACCATTTCCTCTGCAGGAAGCAGTTACTTGATTCATGGAGCAATAACTTCCTTTTATTCATTGGATAAGAAAGTTAAGAAAGCATGAATTCCCTTGTGTTTTATCTGTTTTTAGAGACAATTTAATTGTGTGGCTCATGTCAGGGCACACAGATTGAAGGCTTCAGGGTGAGGGTAGGGATGGGGGAATGCATCATGGCTGTCTTCCCATGACAGAGGCACCCTCATGTTCCCTCCATAGTATTGTCCACTGCTTCCACCCAGATCACCGCTTGTTTGAAAATGACTGAACGTATCCATATATGAAGATGTCAGCCAAATGGAGCACAAGAGATCAAGGTAATTTTTGAATACAATTAAACTAGCTCACTTTCCCTTCAGAAGTTTACTGGAGAGGACTAGCAATGCAGGAGTGGAGGAATGTAGACTTCAGGAGAGAAGCTAGCTGAGGACAAAGGAGCGAGTAATTGGTGTCTAATGAATTTAGAATGCATTTCTATTGTTAGAGCTATATGTATTCAGGCCATAAATGCTGATAATATACATATACTAATATGTATATATACACAGATACATATTAATGGTATGTAAGTTGTGCCTGACCCAAGCCATGGTATTTTTCATGTGCAAGTGGGACTTTGGTAAGGATGACGGATGAGAATTGGGACATTGGGGTTGTAGTGCTAGCAAAGAAGTTTGCAAGTACTGAGGGCTGCTAAAAAGACAAGCAAGTCTGTCTTGGAAGACATATGGTCACCATGCTTCTTAGTAGCAGGGATTGCTAGAGTTTGGCTCATGTACTTTGGACATATCAGGAGAGATCAATCTCTGGAGAAGAACATCATGCTTGCTAAAGTAGAAGGGCAGCAAACAAGAGGAGGCCTCTCAAGGAGATGGGTTAACACAGAGACTTAATCAGAGGAACACTTGGGAGGATGGCACAGGACCAGGCGATGTTTTGTTTCGGTGTTCACAGGACAGCTATGGGATCAAACCCACATGATGGCACCTGAGAGCAACCACAGACTATTAATATCTATTAGTATAAATATAACCTGGAGTCTCAATTATTTTCAGTCAGATGACTCTAATAAAAAACTCATACTAATTCTTATTTTTAATGACCATGTTACTCAGTCTACCTCACCTTGATTGACCTAGGAACAAAGACTGTGGCAAAAGAATTGTATTATGTGATGTCCGACCCAAAAGAGCTTGTAAGTTTATGAAAGAAAACATAAACATCCACACAGCAATTGGAGTACAGTCTATTTTGGGCAGCAAAGTAGTAGGAATTCACAAACAAAGATCTATGGTACTTTCAGAAGCAAAGGGAATAAATAAAATTTTGAATAAACCCTAAACTGCAGAATCAATTTCAACTCATCGTGGTCCTATAGAGGGATTCTGAGACTGTGAATCTGTTTGGGAACAGAGAGCCCCATCTTTTCCCATTAAAGTGGCTGGTCGGTTTGAACAGTCGATGGTGTGGCTAAGAGTCCAATGTTTACCCAACAGCACCCGGCCCATGTTAGCAATATGAATAGAGTAGTAGAACTTAGTAAGTCTGATGCCATCTTGCAGTAGTGGGGCAGCAAGGGAACCAGGAAGCATTGGAGGGTCATTTAGTGACAAGCTAAAAGCAAACGGTGTGCTTACCCTACCTGAACCTGATTATACTTATTGCCATACAATCAATCTGACTCATATCATCAACCTTTTAGGACAGAATAGAAGTACTTAAAAGGTATCCCAAGGTTATAATCACATCATATACTTGTTACAGCAGGTCAATAAATAAGGAAAACTGCAGAAGTGTGGATGCATTTAAATTGTGGTGCTGACAAAGAATATTGAAAGTACTATGGACTGCCTGAAGAACAGACAAGTCTGTCTCAGAAGAAATGCACCTAGAATCCGTCTTAGAATCTAGGAGGACAAAACTTGGTCACACATATTTTGGACATGCTATCACAAAAGACCAGTCCCTGGAGAAGGACATGATGCTCTGTAAAGTGGAGGGGCAATGGAAAGGAGGAAGACTTTCAGTAGGCTGGATTGAGAGAAAGTCAACGAGTTTAAAAAATATCATTTTAGAGTTGAGGAAATTGAACCACAAAACATTAATTTCCAAATCGCAAACCATGCTCATGGCCATTGAGTCAATTCCAGATCGTATTTGCCTATGGTTAATCCCTGGCAGAGTGAAGATTCACACCCTCAGTTCAAAATTTTGAAATATTATCTTGATACGGTATTACATTTCTATTCTTTTAGCGCTTTCATTTCTTTTGTTTACAATCTCATAGAAATGCAAATGAGATCAGGTTAGTATTCAGCACCCTTAGCATACAAGGAAATAGGGTCTAGTCCAGGACTTGGTAAGTTATCAATAATATTTTTTGAATTATCAATCAATATTAAGTGTAGAGGACAGAAGAGTCTGAAACTGGGGAATGAACAGGAAACAGAGATCAAGGCAAGGGAGGAGTAGAATGGGTCAAATAAAATCGGCAGCATTACCATGTCTGACAACAAGGTGATATGAAGCTAAACTAACTCTTGGAGAGTCTGGATGATTGTATGCACTTTAGATGGGGGCAGAATCAACCCAATGTGTCCAGTTGCTAATGCACCTTTTGGAAATAACCGTTGGTGGTGGCAGGGAGGCATTGATGAAGGAAGATAAGGTTAGGTTTCCCTCAAAACAGTTTCCGAAGGAGCTGGCCTGTGTTTCAAAGCATAACAGCACAGGTGAAAGCACACCCAACAAGAGGGCTCATTGATGACCTACCTGCCCAGGGAATCTTGGGAGGAAAAGGGGAAAATAAGATAAAAGTTTCCTTTACAGATGTTCTCTCCCAAACATGAAATCTAAATACGTCTCTAAAATTTATTCTCATTAAGAAAAAAAACCACAAACAATAACAGGAACAATACTCAGCTGGCTTCCTTTCCTCCAAGGATCCTTCCTTTTAATTTGTCCTTGAAGACTGTTAATAAATCACAATCCCAACTAAGGGCAATCCAATGCTAAAGCACTGAGCTTATTTGACCTTCACATTAATTACTTTTATTACACCAGCAGGAACATTTTATGCTATTTTTCTCCTCCTCACAAATCCACATCACTCAAACCTACACAGTTTTTTCATATTGCTTAGAAATCGCTTCTTACAAGCCACCTCTTGTGCATGCCAATCCAAACTCCAAGTATAGTCAGTAGGTTGTTAGGGCCCATTTGTGTATGAGTGTTTTGACAAGTCATTATAATTCTTACAAAATCTGAAAGTGAAATGAGGAAGAATGATTGAGCAATCCAATAGAAGGGTGAGTGCCAGTAAAACCTATTGTACAGTAGGGGCAGAGATGCAGAAGGGAAGAAAAAAGAAAATTCAGGAGAACTCTCCTGCCGGGGAGAGGCAGGCTCTGTGGTGTATTAAATGGAGGACCTCAACAAACACAGATAACAGGAAATGATCCATTCCCTGTGGTCACTTAGGCTAAAGGCCCTAACCTTCAAAGTTCAATGAGTGAAATGGATGACTCCGGTGAAAGGGAGCCGTTACGCCTCTCGTCTAGCCTTCAGGAAAGAGAAGAAATGAAACTTCAGGAGTGTGTCACCATCCACCCCCAGAAGGAAAGCCCCTTTGCTCGGGTCTCTAAAGATGGAAAACTCTCGTCAGTGACCTTGCTGCTGACCCTGCTGTCCTCCTGTCTGACAGTGGTGTCTTTCTATCGAGTGGTCACCCTGCAAGCAGAGCTGCAGAGCCTCCGGGCCGAGCGACGCTCCTACCACCCGGAGCAGCTGCCAACCTCTCTGCAGGCAGGAGCAGGAGCCCCCAAGGCAGCTGCGAGGGAAACTCCAGCTGTCACTGCCGGACTGCAAGTGAGTGCCCAGCTGCGACCCGGCGTGTTTCTTCCGCCACTGCTCTACCTCCCCAAACACAGGCATCTTTTCAATAACGTGGAGGGTTTTTCTTCTTTTTCGTTTTCACTGTACGTAGGCGAGCTTTTCACGACCAGCCCCGGGAAAAAACAACTCCAGTCAAAGCCGCAGGAGCAAACGTGCGGTCCAGAGTCCAGAAGAACAGGGTAAGTTGCGGGGACCGACACCTTTAGACGTTAGGGAGGGCGGTGTGTACAGGTTTCCATATTAACATCAGACTTGGGACAGCCAGGGTCAACATAAACTCGCTGAACCTTTGAAATAGATCCTCTGAAATTTACTATTGAAACCGGTCTTGACTTTCTAGCAAAGCCCTCGCAATGGCAACTTTCGTAGTCTCTGCTGGATGCCTTCCAACGTAAGGTGCCATCGAGTTGAGGCTAACTCATAGTGACTCAGGTCCCTGTGGGGCGCAGGAGCACTGCCTCATAAAGGCTGTCAATCGTTAAAGAAATAGACTCCTCTCTGTCTCTCCCACGGAGCAGTTGGTATATTGAAACACACACACACACACACACACACACACACACACACACACACACACACACGTTGTGGTTAGTAACCCAGCACTTAAACACCAGACTGATAGAGACCAGAACTGTCGCCCTGCAGAAGGCTTTAAACTTGCGACTGACACTGCTCTAGGAAGGCACATTACTGTCAAATAAAAGATTAGCTCGTAAAATAACAGCACTACCTGTGAGCACTGTGATCTTTAAGAACAAAACCAAAAAACATGAGAACGATATAGTCAACAGAGGTGAGGATCTAAGGTGTGGGGGGCAGGCAGGGAAGTTAGATTCATGAAAACTGAAGAACTCAAATGGAAATAATGAGAGTATTGACAAATTGTGAAACGTGTGGGAACATCATTTGCTCTGTAAATGTTCACCGAGAATGCAATAGAATGTTACTTTAAAAATCCTTCAGATGATGAGGGGTGAAATTCTACCTCCTTTAATAAAAAATCAATTACTAATATATTTTATATTATCCATGTGCGCACACAGTTACATGTTGCTGAGCAATACGCAAGATCTTATTTATTCCCTAGCTAAAGAACTAACATTTCAACAGATGGATCTATTTTCTTTGGTGTAAATTCTATTTCTATTTAAGTTTTAGCGTGTTGGGGAGAGAATTCCCTTTGGGATCTCCTTAGGATACGGAACATCCTCTTTCTTGAGCATTGCTCGGCATTCGCTGTTGCTAGGCAGGCGTGTGAAGTCAAGTCCGTCGCCTAGCCACGGGCGAACAACAGCATGAAGCTCAGCCGGGTCTGGGGCCACAGTCACGGTCCTTGAAACCGTTTGCTACCTTGGACCCTGTTTATTTTTGACACAACGGATGGCATGTTGATACCGAAGATTAAATACCTAAAGGAGAAGCAAAACAGGAACACTTTCCTCAAATCGATACTCTACCCCTTGCCAGAAGCATTAACCATCGCTCCAGAATTAAAATAGCCTCACAATATATCACTATTGAAAGGTATTTTCTTTACTCGAGTCATAGAAAGTCAGGTAACAACAAACATGTCCTGATGGGGCACTTTGTGAAACAAGGTCAGCTCATAGAGCCTCTGTTTAATTTTGATTCTTGGTTTAAAACCTTTTTATATCGATCATATTCTATTATATAAATACATCAATACATGCATACAATAGGGGCTTCAAAAGTTAGTAGAAAATAAAAGGAAAAGATCATACATTTCATGAGCTTTTTGAAGTCCTTTGTCTATCATTTATATATTGCATTTAAGACTTCTCTTTAAGGTACTCTTTTCCAGACGTCCCATTCTCTAGTGACAATTTTGCTTTCCTTTGGGTACCACACATTCCAAGAATTTTAAAAAGTTTATGAAACCTTAAAGTTGGAAGGGGTTAATGAAACCTTAAAGTTGGAAGGGGTTAATGAAACCTTAAAGTTGGAAGGGGTTAATGAAACCTTAAAGTTGGAAGGGGTTTCCAAAACAGTCTATTCTAGTTCCTTTTCTACATAAATTAACAAAGAGTATTATTTTTTATATTTTTACAGTTTAGGATGGTAATGAGCCTTGACATAACTTCCATTTTATATTGAGACAGCATCTTTTTGGCCTATCTATCTAGAATCTTACAGGAATTGAAATAGAAATGTTCACAGGTACCATTCACTTAACTCTCACATTGTGCAAGGGAAATAAAATGCAAGTGATTCTTTATTGATCTTCTTGGAAAAGTGCATGAGAAAGCTAGTCAGTGGCAGTCTAGGTTTTTTTTTTTTTTAGTTAGACATGAACATATGATGTTCTGATAATAAAACCATTCTTAAAGGACATGGCTGACTCATTAACACAATATCTCCCTTATTACATAAAATAAAAATATTTTGTACTTTGTTATTACATACTTGTGCCAAGTATCAGAATGACCTTGATTTAAACACCTTTAAAGTGGGAAACACATCTATCTTTACTATTTTGGCATGCCATTATTTTCAACTTATTCATTTAATCAGCTACATTTTTTCATAATTAAGAATAACATTGCCTGTCTACTTTTTACAGTTTCATTTTTATGTATCATACAAATGAGACATCTTCCTGTTGCTAAATAACTCTCAAGCATGGACATTTAACTTTTGTTCTACTATTTTATTTTAGAAGAACATGTTAACTTTTTGTGCAGCGACATTGTACTTCTGTCCACTCTCTGTCTCATCAATACCACGTGCAGACAGACATTCCTTGCTTTATTGTGTCTTACTTTCCTGCGCTCTACAGAGGCTGCGTGTTTCACAAATTGAAAGTCTGGGATAGCGCTTCATTGAGCAAGTTTCTCAGCATCATTTTTCTAATAGCAGGTGTTCACTGCATGTCTCAGTGTCATTGTATTTCAAATTCTTTCCTAATGCTATTGCACACTTATTAGACTACAGCATAATGTGAACATAACTTTTATATGCAATGGGAAATGAAAAACTGTGTCTGACTGTATGGGGGGGGGCTATTCACTTTATTCTGGTGGTTTGGAGCCCACATTCGCAGTCTCTGAGGTAACTTATCTATCACCATCATTACCTTTGGCTATGTTGCTTTTAACATGAGCTATGAATGGAAGTATCAGTAATGTTGTATGCCAACATCTCCTCCTTATTTCTAGAATTTTTATCCTGTAAAATTATTTTGTCTGATTCAGTGGTTGAAAAACAGTGTCTGAAATTTATCTTACTGTGTTGCTCTTTACTAGTGAAAACAGATTCCCTTACACATATTTTAGTTACTTTGTGTTTTATCTTCTGCTGACTTTATTTACAACGTCCCCTCTTTGCATAGTTCAATTTTTCATAATATTAGACATATTGCTTATAAAAATTTTGATATACATATTGCCACAATATTATACTCTTGTTTGGTAATTGTACAGGAATCATGTTTGTATATTTTAATATGATAATATTTACCTTTTAATTTCCTCCTGTATTCTTTCATAACCTCTTATATACAAAGAAACATCATATACAAACATAACCTCTTATATACAAAGAAAGAAAAATGTATTCTTTCATAATCTCATATACATTTTTATTGCTTAGTGTTTTAATTTTAGTAATTAACTTATTGACCCTTCTGGCATTTATTTCGGTGTGTTATTGCCATACCAAATTTTACTTCTAATAATTTTCCTTTTTATATCCCCAAAGAGCTATTGAATACCCAAACTACAATGGTTAGATCTTCCTTTTAACCATTTTATTTTGGAAAGTTTACCATAGTCTACGAAGTTCTTAGATGGTTGAAGGACCACTAGAGGCACGATGATGAAAGCATTTGGATGCAGGCTAGGTGGCAGCATGATGCCGTAAAAATTCACCCTTAGAGTTTTGCCTTTGCCCTTCAGGGGTCTCAAGTTCATTTTAATGGTCATGGAACAATTTGGAGAGGGATATCAGTGGTGCTTGTACAACTCAAAGGGTATAATCAACGGCATCGAATTATACACATAGACAATCATACACATTGAACTGGAGTGTGCTTCCTTGTGTATATTTTTGCCAACATTGAAAAAAAAATACATGAATAACAATTAATATAAGGGAAACGAAAACATTCTAAAATTGATTGTGGTAAAGATTGTACAACTCTTCTTGATATAGTTGAACTATTGGATTGTATGATATGTTGTGTGAAGTGCCAATACCACTGTTTTCAAAAAAAGCAAAACAAATAGGGAATACTAATGAGTTCAACTCTTCCCTATATCAGGATATAGTTGTGTCAAATCTTATTTGAAAATAAGAATATAAAAGTTAAATGTCTCTGGCACTAAAGGCAGAGTCTCATTGTAATGTTATTTGATGCAATGTAATTTAACCAGGATATAAGCTATAATCAAAAGGCAGAAAATGGTCCATTTGCCAAAAGAAGTGGTAAGAATTATTGAAGTAGAAAAGGCTGTATTTATTACTTAAAAATACAGAAGATATATTTATGACTTAAAATTATGAAGTTAATTTTTTAAAATATAGAGTTCAGAAGTAATGGGACTAGAACCAATTAAATCAATATCATTATTTGTCATTATTTTAACAAAAAAGATTTCAGCCTTGAAAATTTGTGGGGAGCAGTTCTAATGTGTCCTACAGGGATATAGGGCTGCCGATGAATCCAAATCTATTCCACAGCAATGGAGTTGGGGTGGACTATAGTCATCCAGCCCATTCTGACTCCTAGTGACCCCATGGAAGACAGAGTAGAATTGTGCCAGAGGTGTTCTGAGGCTGTAAATGTGTACTGGAGCGTCGTTCCCCTTCAGAAGTAGTTAACGGATTTGCACAGCCTACATTGTGGTTATCAGTCCAACCAATCCTTATCTCATGGTGCCACCAGGACTCCTATGGGGTTATATAATTAAGTGTATTTCCAGACTCTCTGTGCCTCATTTATTTCCAAAATTGAAAAGTGAACTCACTGCTATCCAGTCAACTTGAGGGCAACTCCTAGGGACCCGATAGGACAGAGTAGAATTGTCCCTGAGAATTTCTGAGACCCTAACTCTATATGAGAGTAGAAAACTCCATTGTTCTCCTGTGGAGTGGCTGGTAGTTTCGAACTGATGACCTTGCAGTTAACTGCCCAGTGCATAACCACTATGCCATCATGCCA